TGGGCAGCTCGGGGCTAGGGGACCTTTCCGGAGCCACAACAGCAGTTTTCTAACTTTTGGGTTCCAACCTTTCCTCCAGGAACTGAGACATCCCCGTGGATGATGGAAGCACGGGGGTGTTTTCTTCCAAAGAGAAAATATTTACAACCAACTCAAACCAACTGACTTTTCCTCTGCCAGCAGCAAACGCCTGAGGGCCCCGACAGCTTCACAAATCATAGCAGGAAGAGACTAAAATTCCTCAACAAATCAACAAAATAATTCAAAAAGATATGGGCTAGGGAAAATGATGACAGGTGGCAGGGCACACAATACACCCCAGTCCCAGCTATTTTCTGCAGGGTCACGACTTCAGATGGCACACAGACACTGGAAGCAGACCAGTCACCTCCAGTTCTGCCTCCAGTGCCCACACAGAGCTCCAGCCTCAGTGGTGCAAGGAGGACACCCCCAGGGCATGCCCAAAAAGGAGGGCATGGCTAGTCCTGCAGCAGTACCAGGTTCCAGGATCGCCAGCCCGGGCACACGCTCCCCCTCGGGTTGGTGCCAAGGATGGTGCCGCGCAGCCGGCAAGAGGTCAGACAAAGCCGACAGTGTTCCAACACAATGTGTCCCAACAGCCGCCGCTTCCTGGCAGAAGATGAGCCAGCAGCTCGGGGGAGCGATTCTTGGAACCAAGAGGCACTTAAATCAATTCTCAGTTGGCCAATTCACTGCAGACTACAAGGGGAATCCTGACTGCCCCCCCCTGAATCCTACTCACATCAGGAAAAAGCACCAACACCCCCTCCCCCCCTCAAGCTTTGGTACAGTTCAACAAAACAGGAAGGGGGTGTTCCAGCTGTGCTGCAGAGCTCCTGCTTTTCATACTGGTTTTGTGTCGTCCCTAATAACTCAACGTAAGGCTGGACGGACTGACCCCCACCACCACCCTTGGCAGCACGTTTGGTCCAAAATACTAGAGAGTAAGTGCTCTGCTCCCTCCCACCCTGACATTTGCATTAAGTTACCCTAAAAGATGAAAGTCAAAACGGCAGCATACATAAATAAAACTCAAGAGTTGACATAGTAACTCCAAGCTTTAGATATAAACTGTCCAAGAAATCAGAATATCAAAGCTTTGAAACACACTGAACATTGAGTTTTTCCAAGGGGGAAGGAAGAAGCTTTAAGTTTAAGCCTTCGGAGCATCACGGAATCAGCAGATCCGTTCACAGCCACCACAGTTTGCAGATGGGCACGTCTCTGTCCCAAAATAAACAAGTGCTTTGTCCTCTTAACGCCGAAAGTAGCCAACGATGTTACAGAACGGGTGCACAGGACCTTGACTCTGACCAGCAGGGAAATTTAGGAACAACCAAGGAAAACTGAGTGCAGATACTGCCAATTTCCATCAGTTCAACTGTGCTTTAAGACTCACTCATTGCAAAGCCTCAACTAGAAAAAGGATCACTTCCAGGTATCCAACAAAATATAGAGTTTGTATTTTTTCTGTTTTTTTTTTTTTTCCTTCTTTTCTTTTTTAAACTTTAAGACTATGCAGTTCAGCTGTCAATCATTTCAGAAAGTTCCAGGAGGAGATCATCCTCATCCTTCCCTGGGTCCAGGTCAATTTCTGCTTCCAGTTTGCCACCTGAGATTTCCCAAATAAGCTTCTCAAAGTCATCTTCTACAGACAAGGGTGCTTTCCCAGCCCCTGTGGAGCTCAACCGGCGCGTCTTTACTGCTACTTGTGAAGAAGCTGAAGTTGAGCTTGAGACCTCTGACTGTGCCACAGAGTCTGCCTGGCTTCCAACATGCAGTTCAGGACTTGGAAGAACAAGAAAAAGAGCAAATCAGTGTATGACATTCCTTAACCAGAGAGATGTTTTCTGCAAACCAGTTCTTAAAACTGTCGTTAATCTCTCCTACTCCTCAACCTTCACAGGGATTGTTATTCAGTTAACCTGGGGCTACTTTTAGACGCCAGCGTATCAGCAGGTACATTTTTCAGTTTGGGGATTTATCCATGAAGACAGAGCATGTGCGGTCTGGCAAAGACAATTCCATTTTTGTAGCCAGAGACACTGTGTTACCTTTACCAATTTGACTGTAAAAAAGGTTAAGTCTTCAACCTCTGCAGGCGTTCAGAAAACCCAAGAATGCCCTGAAATGCTGTACCAACTTGCAGCATTTTAAGGAAACAATCTAAATAAGCAT